GAAAATGTAAGTGTCACTTATATTATATTATATTATATTATATATATATATATATATATATATATATGTATACATAAAATATGTTTTAGATTTTATTATAGTCTAATATTATTAAATAATCAGCATAACATATAAAATTTATTAAGTACTATAAAATATTATTATATTACCAATATATTTTTATGTATACAAGTGATAGGACAAAATACACCTCCAACATTACTAGACATGGCATTAATGAAATACATACAAACTATTGGTAGAGACTTACTCAATAAATTATTGTACAAGTACAAATTACAAGGATTCAAACTTATACAAAATAAGTTTGTAGTGGATTCTTAATCGCTTAAGTTAACTCGTATCAACATTTTTCAATATATTTTTTTAATCATTTTTCCCCCACACCATTTGATCATGAGCATTACATCACCACTCTTAAATGCTGAGTTTACACTTTACAAATATATATTAAAAATAACATGTTTTATTGATTGAAATAGTTTTGAGTAGTTTTAAAAAAATATTGGCTAGCATATAAGCATGTTTTGATTGAAATGAATGATGTGTGCGGTATAAAAAAAAAAATTGTTTTCTTCTTTTTGTTGGAGACAATTGAAATCTAGAAAGGTCCAAGTCCAAAACAAAAGGATGATTTCAGATGAAGTAAAAATTCTGTTAATGTTCACACACTCACAAAAAAATTCTATTAATGTGTTGGTAGATGATTTTTATACTGAATTATTATATGATATATATTTTTTAATTTTTATAATAGTTACACTAAATGTCATGCTTATTATGATTTTTACTAGTTAATAGTACGATTTTTTTTAAAAATTAATAGTAACGCTTACAAATCAAACTTCCCTTAATTCTCACATATTTTATTTATTTATTTTACGATGTACATTAAATAAAGTAACTTTCATTACTTATTATTAAATAGTTATATTTTATTTTTAACCAATTTTTAATTTTCGTTAACATTGAATCTAATAAAAATATTTAGTGTAGCATTAAATTTTTCATTAGTATTAAATATATCAAAATATCCATAAACTGCTAGTAAATAAACTAAATCTTTATATTTTCTCTATATCTAAAAATACATCTGGAGATATGGTTCTCCTTCCAATTAGATATAGATGTAAATATGAATGCATTATCATTCTTTAAATGTATTTTTTTTAAATTAAAGACATCTTTAATCAGATAACTAAAACATAAAATCATTAAAAACATATAAACCCTTCTAATAAGCACTCTTTTTTTTAATAATTTTTTTATATATAATAGCTCTGTTAAACTTTATCAATTACTTCTATAATATGCATTATAGTACAACTATAAAACTATTAAAAGTTAAAAAGAATTAATAAATAATAAATTATTGAGATACCGATGTATAAAAAAGTAACATTTAATGCTAAAAATACATTTCAATGTTATAATAAATTTTGGATAAGGAAACTGGAAAAAAAGTGTGTACATTAGAGCAACATTATTGTATTGCCGTCCTGGACAATAATTATTATACTTGTCATGTAATTTCATTTTCATCTTCTCAAGTAGCCGTCACCAACTAATTTTAGATGACACGTTTCACATATACGTCGGTCGTTGAATATCAATAATAAATTAATTTGAATTTGTGAGGAGAAAATAAGAGATAATAACTAGTTACGTATTTAATTACTACTAATTACGTTTTCAACACACATTACTATGAATAATCAAGAGCAATAATTTTAACAAACCTATGCCAGATATACGCGTTTCTTTTTTTCTTTTTTTCGAATTTTCAATGTGTGGTCGTAGAATTCACACATTGAATTTAAATTTATTTATTTATTCAAATTTGACGTTGTGGTTTTGATTTGTTCTTTCCTTTCTTTGGATCTGAGCCTTCCTTGAGAGAGAAATCAGATTTTTTTTAAACAAAATCGAAACTATATCTCCATTTTTTTTTATATAAAAAAATTGAATCAATAATTAGCAGCTATTGTTCCTGCACCCGTGGTTCCAACCTTTTCGTTCTCGAACCTCCCAAATCTTCTTCCTCTTCAATTTTCGCCCAGTTTTCTCTGCTCGATCTTCTCATCGCATCTTGTTCGAGAAAAGATTCCATTTGGAAAATACCCACATGCTGTGATTCTCTGTGCGCGAGTGCACCAACGCATATTCGTTATAAAAAAAACTCAATTTTTGTTCCTGGGGTGGCGATTTTTCGATCTGGGTGTGTGGGAGGTGGAGTGATGAATAGTGGGTCGGTGTTGGTTGTAGCAGAGAGGTGAAGGCAGTGATGGTGGTTGTGGGTGGAGCTGAGAGGATGGGGAGAGATCAATAATTTGGAATCAGTTTTGGGAAATAATGCTGTATCTGAAGCAGCCTAGAGTTCACGTTATGAGTTTGGATTTTTGGGTTGTGGGTTTTTTGCATTGCGGTGATTCTGAATTTTGGTGATTTGTGTGTCTCTTTGCATGCCATTTGGTGGTTTCCCTGAGCCTGAGGCTCGGGGGATCTAAGTATCAGAGAGAAAGTTATGGCATCGTCAGAGAATGAAACTTGTCACTCTCCTCCTGCCTCTGACCAAACCCCTTCTCCCCATGTCTGTATGCAGAAATTTAGGCTATATGAGACTCGATCGGTAATGCCTTTTTATTCTTCTTTCTACTGTTGTTGTAGTTTGCTGTCTACTAGGGGATCTCTTTGATTTTGTCATGTGATTTGCTCGTTCTGTGTTGTAGGAATCAGAAAATATTTGTGGATAATTTCAATCTTCACTGTAGGTCAAAAGTTTTATGAATGCACTTGTTGGCTTGTTCCTAGTAAGGGTATCAAATAAGGGATGAAAGTGTGAGACGTTGAATCAGATTACACCTAATAATTCAAATGGATGGTTAAGATTAAAACTGAATAAATTAATCTTGACCATCCATGTATGGTTGTATGGTCAAGATCAACCCCTCTCACTTCTCACTGGATATGCATCCCTTGTTCATATTCATAGAGAGTGTTATATACATAACATGTTTTAGTGCATTTATTATCTTAGTTATGCACTATTGTTTCAAAGTTGGCTCTTATTTTGAATGTTTTGATCAGCTAGTCATCCAATGTGTTGGATTTTTTGCTTGATGATGGAGTTCAATATGTGTTTTGAACTTCCTTACATTCATTGCTTTACAATATAAGAATTAGTTTGGCAAAGTAGAAAGGACTACTTGGTAGCCTCATTTCATGTGTTGAAGAAGTTCTAATCCTATTCCTATAACATTCTTATACATGGCTTTCGCCTTTGTGAAATGCTTCAGAATTAAATCTTTATGCCTTTGCATCCGAGCATCTATGTGGAGATGCTTCATAATTCCTTCTTATCTTAAATGGGATATGTCATTTATCTTAGCTTTGGAAGTGGGTTGTCTCAGGCCTCTCATCATGCTTTAGATGCTTGGATGTATGAATTATCAGCCCTGTGTATTCTAATGTGTATATTAACCTTGGGACATACCATTTGAGAAATTTGAGTCTCTTGTTGTGTTGTTGTTGCAGTGTTTTTTGTGCCTTTCTTATATTTAAAATATTTAACTTTTTCATTTATTTTTATGCCACAGAACTTTTACATGATAGGAAGGGACAAGAGCAGGACATATTGGAGAGTACTAAAGATTGACCGTCTAGATCCTTCTGAACTAAATTTGCGTGAAGATTCCACCACATATACAGAAAGTGAATGTTCTGATCTTCTGAGACGGATACATGAGGGTAACAAGTCCACAGGTGGACTAAAATTTGTTACAACTTGTTATGGAATTGTTGGTATGTAAATCCATAATGTCTTTGTCTACCTGCTTTTTGACCAATTGTGAGCTATTATCTTGATATACTATTCTGGTATTTAGGGTTTATCAAATTTCTGGGGCCGTACTACATGCTGCTTATCACAAAAAGGAGGCAAATTGGTGCAATATGTGGCCATACAGTATATGCTGTCTCAAAGAGTGAGATGATTCCACTGCCAAACTCTTCGGTTCGGTCTAACATCAATTCTAAAAATGAAAACAGGTTACAATCTTGCATATTATATCAATTGTATGTATCATGGAAAACCTGAATTTTAGCCCAAATGATGCAAAGCTTCTATGTGCATATGTTATAAATTATATATTAATATTGATTTGCTTCTTTTCATTTCGATGTAGATTTCTTCCCACTGGTTCCTTTAACTATGTAAAACAAGAAAATACTTTGTTTTGTTTTAAATTACTTGGATTTCTAATTGTTTTTCAGTTTCTAACCATTATCCAATTTTAAAATTATTTCAATTATCCCCTGTTTATAAACATTTAAAATTAATATAGAAGTTAGTGGAAAGTTGAATGCTAAAATTACATGATTACTTCCCTTCTGTTTGACTCAAATATACATGTTACATGTTAAAGAAGCACACCGATTTGTGAGTAGAAGTGTAGAACCTAAAATTAGTTTAGACTGTGTTTATGATAGTTTGTTAAAATTTAGAAACACTATGTGGTTCCTACTTCCTATTATTAATGCTGTCATTGAATTTAAACATAGTTTTTTGGTGTTTGTATTAATTATATTATTGTTTTTTCGTTGATTTTTTAGGTACAAGAGACTCCTATGCATGGTCGACCTAACAAAGGACTTCTTTTTCAGCTACTCATACCACATTATGCGTAGTCTTCAACGGAACATGTGTGATAATGAGACAGGTCATGTTCTTTATGAGACCATGTTTGTTTGGAATGAGTTCTTAACTCGAGGAATTAGGAATCACCTCCAGAATACTATATGGACAGTTGCACTAGTGTATGGCTTTTTTAAACAGGTGAAGATAAATTACTCCAAATGTGTAGTTGGATACTATATTCATTTATTTATTAATCTTGTTAAGTATCTTGTTTGTTCCTGCTTACTGCAAGCAATTTTGTGATCCTGATCTTAAATATCTGACATCTATCTGGTGGCTTCATCAGGAAACACTTATGATATCTGGACAGGAGTTGATACTTACACTCATTGCAAGACGATCACGTCATTATGCTGGCACTAGGTCTGTAAAGTTCACCATATCTTATTCTCAAACACATCAAATCCATTGAATCATTTTCCATTGTGATTATATGTGCTGCGTATTGTCCATTTGGTATCTGGTTCTATAATTTGATTGTGTGCAAAATTAGCTAGTCAGTCTATCAAGTGCCATCTCTGATTTTATCCTTCTTGTGTTGAGGATTTGATCCATATGGTCATACTCCAGTAATTTTTATTTATTTATTATTTTTAAGTGTTTTAAATTGTCACTGTCTATGCAGTTTGAATATAGAATTAGTATAGCATAGGAAATGTTGCATGTAATTATCTATCTTTCACGTTCTTATGGTTGTATGCTTCTGTGTTTTTCATTTGGGTGTTGAAAGATGATGAAATTATCCTCTGTCCAAGTATTGTAATGTGGGATAATGGGTGGGTCTTCCTGTAGGATTGTGCTTAATTGTTACTTTGTGGAAAATTCCCAAGGCCATTTAGACTTGGCACCTCCCGCATTATATTCACTTACATATTTTCTTTACCCACCATTGTTGAACTTTGTTTTTCCAACACTGCCCCTAAGTCCAGCTGGCCTAGCCCACTTGTGACTTGCCTTCATTAAAAAGAAAAGTGAGGTGGTAGACTACACAATCTTTTCTGTATATAAAATCTTTTGTTGGCTTCACAAAGTTTATCATGAGTGAAAAGTTGAAAGCAATCATTATGCAAGATTTTCTGGCACAGTAAGGAAATATACATTAAAGAAAAGAAGCAAAGTGCAAGCAATAAAATATTGAATTTTGAAGGATATATATGGTAGAAAGAATGGTTATGTAATATGTATTTGTAATAATCATGTGTAAAATTCATGGTTTCACTTATTTGATTATCATGACTAGGTATTTGAGGCGAGGTGTTAATGAGAAAGGAAGAGTAGCAAATGATGTTGAGACAGAACAAATAGTCTTTGAGGATGTTTCAGAAGGTCTTCCCATCCAAATTAGCTCTATCATCCAGAACCGTGGTTCAATCCCTCTTTTCTGGTCACAGGAAACTTCAAAACTAAATATTAAACCAGATATTATATGTATGTCCTCCCATTTCACAAATATTGTAACACTAGCAGAGTTATTTTTATCTTTTTTTCCTCTACTTTGATTCAAAGATGCCCATATGTTTGCTTATGTAGTCACTTATTTTTCTCCAGTGTCAAAGAAGGATCAGAATTATCAAGCTACTAGACTTCACTTTGAAAACCTTGTCAAAAGATATGGGAATCCTATCATTATTTTGAATTTAATAAAGGTAATTTTTTTATATATTTTATTTTAAGGAAATGAATTTATCCCCCCCCTCTTTATTACATCATCTATATTTCCAAACATTCAATTTTGTTGTATCTTGGTTCTGTTGACATGTATCAATGTTGTAAATTTGTAATTGGTTATGTCTTGACTAGTTTTATATTGTATTTTTTGTTAAAATAAACTAAAGGTGATATAATAATGACAAAGTGGAAATTCTGCTGATGGACTGTATTGTTTTATGTTTGATTTATTGGAATATGTACATACTATTTAGAGGAAGAGAATGATGCATGATGGTTTAGAAGAATTTATGTTCCTTTTAAGTTACCTTTTCCCTTATTTAATTAGGATAAGGGGTCTAGTATTAGTATATATAGGACTACTGCGTTAGCATTTTGTATGAAATTGTAATACACCTTAGAAATTCAATATCCTACTGTTTCAATTCTGTATTTTCTCCTTTTCTCCTTCCTTACTACCTAAACCTTATAATTTCACCAGTATCATTTTTGTATAAGACCCTTGGTGATTGATACGTTTTTTTTTTTTTAAACCAACAGACCCATGAGAAGAAGCCTCGTGAGTCCATACTTCGTGCAGAGTTTGCTAATGCCATAGATTTCATTAATAAAGATTTATCTGAGGAGAACAGACTTAGGTTCCTTCATTGGGATCTGCACAAACATTTTCAGAGGTTGATTATTTTATTATATAATTCTATCCTTTTTAGCAAATTACAATTTGTTTTCTGATTTAACTGATTTGCCTTATATTTCACTTCCAGCAAATCTGCAAATGTCTTGCAGCTTCTTGGCAAAGTGGCTGCATATGCATTGACATTAACAGGTTTTTTCTATTGCCAAGCAACACCAACCTTGACACCAGAAGAATGTCTAAAATGGCCAACTACAGAGTAAGTTTTTCATGTGTTTTAAATCTTCAATTATATTTTTAAACATATCTTAGATGAGAACAATGATATAAACTTCTCCAAAGAATAAGCCAAACAATATTTATACAAAAGCAGTTAATGCTTGATGCCCAGAGGAAATACCTAAAGTTCTTCCACGTGCATTTTTTGTTTACTTTAATGTTATGTTTTGCATGCAGCAATGCTGATAAGGGAACCTTTTCACCTACTAGACAAGTCAATGATGACAATGAGGATGCTAATAATTTAGAGAGGAAACCCAGTGAAGGAGGCAATGATGCTAATAATTCAGAGAGGACACCCAGTGAAGGAGACAATGATGCTAATAATTCAGAGAGGAAACCCAGTGAAGGAGACAATGATGCTAATAATTCAGAGAGGAAACCCAGTGAAGGAGACAATGATGCTAATAATTCAGAGAAGAAGCCCAGTGAAGGAGACAATGATGCTAATAATTCAGGGTGGAAACCCAGTGAAGGAGACAATGATGCTAATAATTTAGAGAGGAAACCCAGTGAAGGAGACAATGATGCTAATAATTTAGAGAGGAAACCCAGTGAAGGAGACAATGATGCTAATGAAAGTCATTCTGTCAAACCTCCCAAGTTGCAGAGGGGGGTGCTCAGGACCAACTGCATAGACTGCTTGGATCGCACAAATGTTGCTCAATATGCATATGGGTTGGCTGCTCTTGGTCATCAGCTCCACGCTCTGGGAGTTATTGATCACCCAAAAATTGATCTTGATGATCCCGTAGCTGATGATTTAATGAGGTTTTATGAGCGGATGGGTGATACACTTGCTCATCAGTATGGTGGTTCTGCTGCACACAACAAGGTGATTTGCAACTCTGCAGCTTACTAAAATTGCTAGTTTGCATATTCTAATGTAACTTGAGAACTGATATTTTTGCTCCATTTTCTTTCTTAATTACCTTTGAATAAATTTGTTTTTAATAAATGTTATCATTGGGTTTAAACTTTGTGATGGTAAGATAATAATCAAACTTCTTTTGGGGGGATAGAGAACGTAGACCTCTTTATTTATCTCCCAAACAAAAATATTTAAGGGGACCTCAGTTCATGGCTTTCTAATTATGCTGTTTGAGGCTTTGAGCTGGATGACATACAATTGCCTTGTTAGCTTTCTTGTTGGTACTGTGAGAATGCTCTGATATCCTATATTGATTCCATGTATCACTAATAGATAAGATCTACAAATATGACTTTGTGACCATCAGTAATTATCTAAAATAATAGTAGAGTTAATGTTGCTTTATTGAGAATGGTTGATTAATCCACTCTGTCAATCTTTAGATGATTGTTTATTTTTTGCCTGCTTTGTTCCACTTTATATTGTAGTCTTCACCATACATTTGTAAACGTGTTTTTTTACCCTTTTCTGATGGTCTTTTTCAATACCTTTGTTTCTATGTAGATTTTCTCCGAGAGGAGGGGCCAGTGGAGAGCTGCAACACAGTCTCAGGAGTTTTTTAGGACTCTTCAACGCTATTACAGCAATGCATACATGGATGCTGTGAAACAGGATGCAATCAATGTGTATGTGCTACAGTCAAGCATTTTCTTATTTTTCTATATGCCTCCAAGTTATATTATTTCCAGTGGTTGGATTATAGCATGTTTGCTATCTGGTTTATTTGTTTTTACTGTTCTGCACTCCATCTATCTCTCGGTTATGGGGAGTTTTTGTTTTGGATAAGAGATTTTTTTTTTTTTTTTTAAAATGAAAAGAAGGATGACACAGTAGGATTAGTAATCAATGTGGTTTGTTTGATTGTTTTCTACTCTGTCTCTATCTCTCATGTTGTCTGGAGTTTTTGTTTTGGACAAGAATTTTTTAAAATGGAAATAAGGATAACACAGTAGAATAAGGAAGCCTCAAATATTGCAAAACTATCAAAACAGTGACAATACGGCAGATCTTTCCTATCCCTCTGCAAGTCTTTCTGTCCTATATTTTGTGATATTATTTTGGCAACTTGTACTTTTTGTGATATATTCTGTTTGTAAAGATGTGTTCGCAATTTTAACTTATGATTCTCTTCTTCTAATCATGAGGTGATCTTTCTATTATTGGGGCAGATTCCTGGGGCATTTTCAGCCACAGCAGGGTAAGCCCGCTCTGTGGGAGTTGGGTTCAGATCAGCTCTTTGATACAGGAAGACATGGAGATGACGATGCAAGGTATTTGAATACAGAAGAGTTCTAGCAACACTCTCACACTCCTAACACTCTCTCTTATTGATTAAAATTTATTTAAAGCTACAAAATCATGATAGAAGTTCATTAAATAACTTGTGGCACTCACAATTTTGTGATTTTCTTTCAATTTTATCCAATAAGATAGAATGTGTTAAGAAGAGTGTGTTAGAGAGTGTGTTTCTAGCATTTCTCTTGAATATAATTATGGAATAAAATACCTTTCGTTTCTGAACCTTCATGCATTAGTCCCTTTTTGAAGATCTTGTGTTGGGGTTTTTCTCTGTCTGGAACTTACACAGTCCACCTTCCCCTTCCATATTTTCTATATTTATCTATGAAAGAAACACTTTCATGGATATTCCCATAAAACAAAATATAAAGTAAAATTTGATGCAAGTCAAAAAGAGCAAGGGATTATCGTTGCATTAAAGAAATAATTGGAGAGAAGCACCAAAAAAAGCACAAAAAAATATATTTGGAGAGAAGACAGGGTGAAGAGATGGGGTGCACAGCTATAGAGGGATAATCTTTTGGATAATTGTGGGGGAGATGGAAAATAATTATTTGTTATTCAGAAAATTCCCCTTACCCATTGCAAATTGCAACCTCAATACCCCCTTTTAATATAGGATAGAAATCCCAACTTGAAACCAATCCTAACCCTTACAGTAGATCCAATCCAAGCTATTTGAAGTAAATTGAATAACAAAAAGATAAAATAATTAAAGTTTCTACAGAACATTTAATCAGTATTGATCCCCTTTGTCCTGCATCTAGTTTAAAGTAGTATGTGATAATAAAGCTAGAATAAGCCTAGTATGTGTTAAGACATGTTTGGTATGTATATCAAGTATCACGTATTTAGATGATTGTCTTAGAATTTTGGCTTAAGGCCTAGCTTAACTCCACAAAACTGTCTTGTAAGGAAAAGATTGCCCAAATTTTATAAGCTTTAGTTGGTGTGGGACTAGACCACCATCCTTGAGGCTGCAATTCAGGCAACTCCAAAGAGGCCACAACTAAGGTGGGCTTGGGGTTACTGCAATTAAGGTTACTTTCCAAGTTAACGGATTGTACTTGGAGTTTGGATCACTAGGGTACTATATCGAGGTATGGGATAGTCAACAGCACAAATATTAAGTGTCTGATGATGCATATTAGACATGGCTTCTTTTTCTTTTTTCTCTAAAAAAGATATTATTGGGTGAGAAAAATGCTGCAAGGATGTTAGAAAAATCTTAACTGCAACCATGAGTAGAACACTAAAGAGGGGCCAAAAGTATACTCCAATTCATAGCACAAATGTAAGGGGAGGGAGACATCTTGAAAGTGCAGGCTTTTCTCTCCAACCAATAGGCCAGAGGACTGCATTAGACCACACACACGCCATAAATTCTTAACATTGTTATTCTTGTCTTTAGAAAAACAGAGCATCATATGGTGATTCTGATATTTTATAATTTAGGAATAGCAGTGCAATATATAGGTGCTGGCCACACTGGGGATTGACCAGTCAAATTCTCTACAATCAGAATTTAATATGTGAATCAATAAATTAAGGAACTAAAATATTTAGATTAACTTTGATGATAGACCTAATCAACTAAAATAAGGAAATACATAAAATACAATAAATTTGATTTGTCAAAATCAATCTCAGATTCAGCCTGTGATTAACTACACATAATCTTGATACTGTATCATGAGGGATCGAATATCAGTAGGAGCATCTTATTTAAAAAATAAAAATAATTATATATATATATATATGTATGTATAAAGACATAAATATTACATAAAAAGGAGAAACATTCATTAAGAATGAAAAGTGAACCGAAAAGAGATTAAAATATAAGCTCAAAACTAGTCAATAAATGATAAAAATTAGCAATATTTGAAAAATTAGAGACAGTAGGTTCAAATTATAAATTTAGAGGAGACAAATTGATAACTCAAGACACGTGTATTATTTTAAAATCAAGGGGTGCAAATGCACCTCTGAAGTATATGTAGTCCATCATTGCTGATCATCCAACCAAAGCCATCATTTGCACAGACAAAATCACGTTTGGTTTTTATGTTTCCCTCAACAAATGTGCACTTTAGGTCTTCCTAGAATTGTATTTGTTGATATTTTTCATAATCTTCTGGGCTTGCTGCAAATACGATGGTGACTTGAACCTTGTACTCGGAAAATACCTGTCTAAGCTTCTATTATGTTAACTATGAAATTGTGTTTTTTAGGTCACTTTTCAAAAGATCCTTCTCAGATGGAAACATTCTTAATGATAGTTCTACACCAATGTCAGCCCCAAAGGCCAGGCACGAAAAATTCCCAAGCCAAGGCTTACCAGACCGATCAGGAGAAGGAAACAAGGGTCTTTGTGAGTCATCACCAGAAATATCAACTACTGAGAGTGACATCTCATTTTCAAGGTTTGTGTCCTGTATTAATGTGAACTTAAATGTGTAGGATACAGGAGGCAATAGATTATCAGTAATCCCATGTTATCCGATATCTGTCTTTTTTACTGCCTTTATTAGTCACCTTAATCTAGAAAATTTTCATCTTCTTTGCAAAGAGGTCACTGTATACGAATTTTTATATGATACATATTTTTTGGAAGATGGGAAAAAATATATTCTGATTGAGATGGTCCTCTCTTTTCTTAATCTTGTCTGTATTTGTATGTTGAAATGCCCAATAAAGTGTGTAAATTTGTTATCTAAAATGTCCAATGAGTATCTTTTGCTGATATAAATTGTAAACTTGTGTTGCCTGCTTGCAGGATGGCATGTTCTGCCATTTTCTGTTTTATTTTTTTCCATTGGGTCTGCATGTGTATGATATACAATTCATTTTGTTTTGTGTAGGTACACTCCCCCAATGCCTCGGAGACAGCTCTTTGGTGATATACAAAGGGAGCGCGGCATTGAAAGTGAACATATTTACTATTCTGATCACGGGGATTCCTTCAGCTGCTCCAACTTTGTTGACCTGGATTGGCTATCTTCTTCAGGAAATTCATGCGAAGAAGAGCCATTCGAGAGGTAATACTTTTATACAGAAACTGAATTTTCTATGCAATTAATGGGTAATATCACTGTCTTGGTTATATCCTATACTTCTTTCCAATTGTCTGCAAAATTTCTCCTGTGTTTCTTTCCTTCTTTCTGGTGTTATATATTTATTTTATCCGAAAATATTTTGTTTACTTTGGAAGCAAATTTCTATTGAATGCAGGTCATCAATCACCAACTCTCCAATTGCCGGAGTTTCTTCAGAAAATGTTGTCAATGGAATAATAGTAGGAGAAACAACTGCCTCCACTAGTGATTTGGGGGGTTCCAGCCTGAAGGTAACACCCCTTCTGATACAGTAAACATGGATTAAATATAATTTTAGTTTCTGAACTTTTGTCAATTTTTATTTTAGTCACTGAACAAAATTTTTTACTACCCTAAATTTTTTTCTTATTTTCACTTTTAGTTTTGGAACTTTTCCTTTTGTTGACATTTTAGTGCCTTGCGGGCAAATTTTTTTGTTAATGTAAAAAAATTTAGAGACTAAAATCAAATAGAATTTGTTCAAGAACTAAAAACATATTTAATCTGTATAAATATATTATCACATTCACAACTTCCTCATGTCTATAGATTCATTGTGCATTTATACATAAGAATATGATGTAATTAATATATTGAATACTTAATTGTATGTACATGCTAGTTTTCATTCAATGATGCAGTATATGTAGTTTTTTAACATGAGTTTTTAGTAGGATATTCTAGGTCTACCAAGTGTAGGTTTTGCTCACTAACTGTATGGCAGAATTCACTCACTAACTGTATGTAATGTTGTCAGGGAAGGGAGCAAACTGAATCCGAGTTATCCTATGGTGATGCGCGGTCCAATGCATCAGAGGATTTTCCAGATACTTTTGTACAGTGGGTGACTTATGGGCAGACACTTTGCCATTGAAGTTTGCATATGATCTTTTGCACTAATATAATTGACATTTTTTTGGCTTGGTCTAAGATCTGATTAGAAGAGACTAGAGAGAAAGAACGGGTGAATCAGGCATTTGGGTAGGCTTCATGCTTATCTACGAAGAATCCTGACACCAATCTTGGTATTGACATGCAGCGTAATTCTGTTGTGAAAATCTCAGTCAAATCCTCAAGGCATAGTAAAAAATAGTGCATAGCAACTGCTTGTAAAATTTGTCGCTGTCTGTTCCTTTTATTTTTATTTTTATTTTTCTGTTGTTTTTGTCTTCTTGGAGTTCACTATTTTCATTCTTCTTTCAGCAGTTATAGTAGGTGTACTTTTTGTAAATATTATTACCCTGCTTGTGGGAGCTTCACTTTAGAATTGTAGATAATTGATTCTTTTAAATAACTTGCTTGTTATAATGTATAATATAGAACTCATGCTCATGAGTCACTATCTAATTAATCCGATGTCTATATATTAACGTTCTTTTTATGCCTATGATACACATTATCAAAGTCCAATAAGAAGAGCAACACAAAATAAATATTTGAATTATATAAAATTTTGTATTTTGTATATTACTTGATGCGTGATGCATAATAATACAAAAAAAAAAGAAAAACCCAACAATTTTTAATATTATCTCGATACATTTGGAATTAATTTATTTTAGTATAGTGATGGAGGCGGTGGTACTGAGTGGAAACAATGAATATTTTAGTGTTGCTTTTAGTACTTAAGATAAAAGTTAATTTAGATTTAAATTTGAATAATATAATAAATAATTAAAAATTTTGGATGCTTGATTCATTAAAATATTAACTCTCTCCCCCCTATACTATAAATTAAATTACTAACTTATACAGTCAAATTCTCACCTTTTTCACACTCTTTATATTCTTAACATTTGTCAATATTATCTACATTTCATATTATTTTTACAATTAGCCTTTTTTTTAATCAAAATCATCTCAAATTATTTTTCTTTTTTTTCTTTATCTTAGAATTGATTTTTTTCAATAGTTTATCCTTTTCAATTTAAAATTGGTCTTATTTAAGAATTTAATTTTTATATTATAAATATAAAATATAACTTACATATAAACATCATAATAGTTTAAAATTTAAAAATATTTATTTGTTATGAAGAGTTTTTATCATGTACAACCTTGCACATTATTTATTTATTTTTGTATATTCTACGAGGGTAATAAAATTTAAATTTAAGATTTTGTTCATACAGGCCATCCTAGGAATGGAAATTATAAGCCAAGATTCAATTTTGGAACCCTGCAACATTAAGGTCCAAAAAAATAGCCATGCATGGAGATAAGCTTTGGGAGAGTGAGACTTTGACTTACATTTTTCACTTAAGTATCTGACAACATCAACTTGGTATCGGATAAATTGACTGATCTTAGTACTAGCTAGCTTAAAGAACTTTTGATAATCAGTTTTTTATATTGCATATTTGATTATACATTAATTTCACAAACATTGAAAAGTTTTTATTTCTTTTTTAATTGATAGGTTAGTTACTTTATATATTATTTCTGAAAGTTAAAAAATGTATAATTAAAACCGTATATTATACCATACCTAGTCCTCTAACTTACGGTTATTTTGCTCTCACATTCCAGACTTGGAAATTACCCATTTCTATTCTATACCTAATATTGATATAGAATCGATGTCTTATTATCCATCCCTTGAACTCATTCACATCTGTTGTAGTATTATTTGTATTTTCAATGTAATGCATAATAAAAGAAAAACAAAAAAAAAGTCTTAGCAAGATATATGAGCAATATAGATAGTATATGCATACATTCTTATAAACATTTACTTTTCCAAGTTTTAGTAATGTCATGCATTTTTATAAACATTTACCTGTATAACCTAGCATTATACTAATTTCATAAATAAAATCACATGAATATGCAAGTCTAATTTGGACTGCATGATTTTTTAGTTTATTCAAGCAAGTTATTTTAGTGTAATTTTTTGCAGCGTACAGTGAATTAGATGAGTTTACAATTTCACTATTTGATTTGATCCAAACAATCAACATACTGTTAACCACTGAATTACAATTCATTGCACGCCCTTTTTCATTGGAAAGATAAATTTAAATATTAACTTTTCAAAATTGAATATTAACTTTTCAAAATTGTAATTATATATCAAAGCGTATTCTCGGACACATTTTGACAATTTGACATTTACTAAATTTTTATATATTTTTGTTAATCCACATCCAAGATTATTCTTACACATTCTACAATAAAAACCCGTACAATGAAAATACAAAATTCAACACACAATGAAGAGTCCCAATTTAGTGACCTTTACCACTAGCATAAGTTTCGAGTTTAAATTTTCACCAGTATTTCCATATAAGTGAAATTTTCTCTACCCCTTAACCCCAACTCTATTCCTTCTTCCTATTTCAAATTATTCATGAACTCCTAGTATGTATCTTGTATCGTACCCTCACCAAACTTGCCGGAGAATTTATAGACACATTAAAGAGAACAGGTAATATGTTCAACGAATAATTAAGCATAGCAAAGCAAAATAATTTTAAGAAAGGAATACAAAACATAAGTAAAAACTACAATAGCTGTCCACTAATTCTCAAATTGAAGCATCCAAGGCGAATGGAGACTGCAACATGTTGCTCCAACTGATCTCAGGGAAGAAAATTGACAGTCTACCATAGAAAAAAATCAACTAAGAATAGGGAAGATGCGAGTAATGTGCTCCAATGGTACACTGTCTGCGGCATTTTTCTTTAAAGCTGGGTCATTAAATTCATTTCTAGGAAGGATAATGACTTGTCCCCTGCCTTGGCTTTTCTCAATAACCCAATCACTGTTGGCTACTTGGTGTTCAAGGAATTTGTCCAAAGATAATCCTTCTATGTTGATTGCCTATAAAAGTTTAATGCAGAATTAATAATCAAATATTTCAAAGCAATATAAGAAACTAATTTCCGGTCTGACTCAAACAAGTAACCGGAGTCAGAAAAAAACACTTTTACATAATCAACCGCTCCTAAAAGACTCCAGAATAGCTGTCAATAGTTTGACTCAATTGTTTCTGACAAACAGCGAGAAAAATGCAAATAACAAGCTGCCAAAGTTTTCAAGAACCATTTAACATCTAAAAACACACAATGGAGGATTACATTTGTGAGCAGACAAGTGTTGTATTCGTAATGTATGAGTCACATTAAACATGAGTTCAACTAGCAATAAGGGAATAAATGCACTAGATTTTGGGCTAGCAGCTGCAGATGAAAAAAATATATCACCAAGTAATGAATCAATGCTTCAAATGAACAAAGAAACAAACATACCTCAGCAAGCACAGTTCTAGGAATCTTTTGGTAAGTCAAGGAAAGGACATGAATTGCATAGCCTTGAATTGCCTGCTCAAATCCTGCAATTAAATTACAATTACGCTAGTATAAGCAAGAATTAATGGGGGAAAAATGAAGTTACGAAACTTAATCAGTGTCAAAACTAAACAAGGAGGGGAAAAGGCCTCATCAAGCTCAAGTTAAAATCCCCACTTGTTTCTGTAAAAGCAATATTATCAGCCACAAGATACAGTAGCAGCATATTATAAGGATTGCATTAGTTCAGAAAAGGTGAATAGATGCCAATATTTGGTTAAAATTTGCACTGTATAATACGTATGGCTAGACAGATAATATATGCTTAATTTCACAACAAGACCCAATTAACCAGATTGAGCACGATGAAATAAAGCAGCAACAAGGTGTTCAAATGATTATTTTTCAGACTCAAATCTATTGGTTACATTCAAAGTTTATTAATCATAACAGCTAATTATCATTTTATAAATTAGGTTAAATTATACTTTTGGTCCTTTATCTTATTTTTAAATTCATTTTGGTCCTTTATTAAATAAAATGTTCATTTTGGTTCTTCATCTCTAAAATTAAGGTCAACTTAGTCCTTTTGAATCATTTTAACTAATTCAAAACTTTAAATTTGTCTCATTAGATTCACTTGTATGAAAACTATTAAATGCAATTAAAATTCAAATCAAAAGTGTTACATTCAAGATGAAAATAAAAAATTTCAAAAAATATAATTTCACACTATGTTCTAGTTGTTCATGTGATATATTTTTTCACACAAATTTCACTATGTTTATAGTCTTTTTAGATTTGAATGTCAATTGTATTTTATGATTTTCATATAGATGAATCTAATGTTTTAAGTTCCTCATCTTAAATCAATCAAAAATTGATTCAAAATTGTATCACAATTGAAAATGATAATTGTTTTAAAAGGAACAAATTGAACCAAATATAAAAGATAAAGGACCAAAATGAACATTAAAATAAATAAAGAACCAAAATGAATCTAAAAAATAAGATAAAAGACCTAAATTATAATTTAGCTTATAAATTAATACTATATAATTACCTGGAACAGCTTCAACTATATGTCGACTTTTTGCTGCTTCATCCCAGAACTGCCGAAATCTTCCTGTCTGAAGAGGCAAATATTAATCTCTAATTTCAAATGACTGCTTAGTCCTTGAGAAACTAAAGCTGATGCTTACCTCCAAATAGTGAGAGAGAACAATCAAAGTCTTGAACTGCTCCTCCATTTGCTAAGATTCAATAAAAAAAAATCCAAAACAAAATCAAAATGTCACACAACGTATAACAAGGAAATGCATCGATCAATGATATGGTTAGACACACAGATAAACTTAAAAATTCAAAACCAAAAGAGAGATATTTAGAGTTGAACTGGAACTTGAAAGAATCCCACTTTCTGCAACTTAAATTTTTTTTTCTCATTTCACTCAAGGGAAGGACACCACACCATTAAGTCTTTTGAAGGAGAAGGAAGCCTCTTTTGGAAGACTGAAGCCACTCTCTCCAACAACCAACCTTGATGGGGTTCCTCTTCCCCTTCCCATTTTTCTTTTCATTCTTTCATGGATTGTAACTAAGCTTTCCTATTAGGACATTGATTTAGATGTAATTGGATCTTGTTTACCAATCTAAATTTATTTTCATTTGATTTGACAAGTCTATTTCTATCTTAATGCTTTTTTATTAGCTACACTTAGACGTCAATTTTTTAGGCTCTTGATATGGTTGGCATTGGTTTGTTAAATCCCTTTGCGCTTGTTATTCTGCTTTTGAATTGATAGAACTGGTGAATTAGTAATCTGAATCAATAATCAGAGGAATAACTGAGAAAGTGAGGAACTGATTGGCTTACGAAGTGGATATCCGTCAAATGTATGAGAATGAATTTGCATGAGGAATTGACAAAATCAATATTCTATTACTTCTTTGCTTGAATTTATATAGTTATCACTAAAGTTATTCACTCATTCTATACTCGATATTGCTTATTCGACTTGGTATACTTAACAAGGGCTCATAAAAAACCCCCACAAAACATTCCAGATTTAACCTAGCAAAATACATAAAATTGCAGGTGAGACTATTAAATCCTGCTTATTCAAATCCACATAACGCTAATCATGAATTATTCAAATATCTAGGTGTTTGTGAGAATCATACCACGCGTTCTGGAATCAAAAAGAGACAAAGGCTGAAATCTGGAGCTGGCATTGCCATGAGAGCCTGTTCCAAAAAAACAAAACAGAGATTTGAGCCATGATGACATTCATATGCTTCCTATAACTTACAGCCAAAATACAATCGGCTAACCGCACCTTAACCAATATGCGGGCCACAATCTGGGAACTCATTTTCTCTGGTTCAAACTGCAACAACGGATAAACAAACTGTTAGTCGTAACTCGTAACTAATCACTTACCTCCCTCGAGGAATTGACATTTAAACCAATGAATTACCTGGTAGAGGCGCAGAAGACACAGATTCGCGTCGAGACTGTAAGTTTGCGATGAAACCTAACAAGAGACAGAAGTTGTTATTCGGCAATGGCTTACGAAGCTAGGTTTCGGATTTTGGGGAAAAAAGAAGGAGAATCGAATTGTGAAGCGTGGATGAATAGAGAAGGAGAATGAACCTGGTCGTTGACATAGTTTTCGAGATCTGGAAGGATATCGGGATTGTATCGGTTGAAGGCTACAAGCTGCTCCACTGTGTAAGCTACTTTCGTTGCCTCTCTTTCTCTTCCCATCTTTGTCTCTCTCACAGATGCGCAAAACCCTACTTTGCCTCCGAAACTCAACAGTATACGGAAAGCCACCAAACGCAATACTTTACAAAACCCTTTCCCTTTTATTTGGCTGACGGGAGTGGAATGGAACAAGGAGAAAGGTAATAACTTAATAAATAAATAAAACAAAAAAAAAAAAATATATATA